TGGAAAACCTTGACCTTGGCTCCTTGCCCACCCAGGCGCTCCACTGGCACCCTGCTACTGACGCTGCAATTCTAGGGTTGCTTACCAAGATCAATTATCTCCCCGTGCCCAAGATCCATCTTTCATATTCACTGTAAAGACCTGCTCAGCAATGGTCCTCATCAATGTTAATTAAAAGATTCCTGTTTGCAGAACTTAATGGTTTTGTTGCTTTCTGTTCAGCACAGCTGGAAGATCAGTAGTGAATTTAGCCTGTGAGTTATCCCTTATCAGCCCCTTCAGCATCCCGCTCTTCTCCTTCTGACCTCTCCTTGGTGTCCCACCAACAATCCCTGGGGTCTGAGCTTTCCTCCCCTGGGGCTTCCCTGGCTTGTGTCTCCCACTACTCCTCTTTGTCTAGCCAGTCCCTGACAGTTGCAGTGATTTAAAAGCAGAGAGTGCTGTTGTTGCACTCAGGTATTGCTCGAGGGCTTCCCACTTTAACATCCAGCTGACCACTGTGAGAGCAGGATGGTGGGCTAGATGGGACATTGGCCTGATCACCAGGTTCTCCTTACGTTCTGCATGTGCATAAGGTGTGTGCCTCACATAAAGCTGTGTGGCAGCAGTGGGCTAACTCTGTCCCCTGTTTCTGCTCCAGTGCCAGTCTGTGGGTAAGAGCTTGGCAGTCTAGAACAGGGAGACTTCCACACTCAGGGAAACTCCCTGGGTGTTTAAAAACCTGGAAAACAGAAACTTTTGCAAGCACACAGAATCTGATCTGCAACTTTCCTCCCTGCCCTGTATATTTCAGGTCAAGCTTTGATCCTGCCACTCCTCCAAGCCATTAAACTTACCGTCGACAGGGACCTTGCCGCTGCCGCCGCTGCCTCCGTGCTTGCTGCTGCTGCCACCACTGGAATCGTAGCCACCGGTCACTTTCCCACTATGCCTGTACAACCGGCCTGAGCCAAAGCCAGACTTGTTGCTGCAACATCCGCCGGAACCACAGCAGGACCCCTTGCTTCCGCAACCGGCCGATCCGCAGCAGGACCCCTTGCTTCCACAACCGCCTGATCCGCAACAGGACCCCTTGCTTCCGCAACCGCCTGATCCGCAACAGGACCCCTTGCTTCCACAACCGCCTGAACCGCAACAGGACCCCTTGCTTCCGCAACCGCCTGATCCGCAACAGGACCCCTTGCTTCCGCAACCGCCTGATCCGCAACAGGACCCCTTGCTTCCGCAACCGGCCGATCCGCAGCAGGACCCCTTGCTTCCGCAACCGGCCGATCCACAGCCTGACACGGCACCCTCGTTGCTGATGACTCCGCCAGAGACAGAGGGTGTGATTTTCTCATTCATGCTTTCTGCAACACTGGAGGCAATCTCTGTCGGCGGGTTGGTGTTACTGGTCAGCGACGCGAGGTCTTTGGCGGAGCTGAAGGAAACTTTGCTGCTGCCGCCACCTGGACCAGTGATGGCCTCGCCCACTGCACAGGATAAAAGGTGACATCTAAGATGGGTGAGTTTTAATGTTGGAAGCTACCCGGGACAGTAGGGTGAAGGGCAGGCAATAAATAAATGACAGCTCGAGATTTTGGTGACTTGTTTTTAAGTACTGAACCTGAAAATGTAAACAAACTGCACAAGCCAAGCCTTTGGTGTCATCAGCCTTGTCCTGTGGAACCCTCTGCCACTAGAGATCCAGCAGGCAGCTTCTGTTCCAACCTTTTAAATGCCTGATGACAACTTTTCCATTTCACCAGGCCAATTAAGCATACATCTCTCACAATGGTCTACTGGTGTTTGTTTTTAATTATTTTGCTTTTCACGTGTTTTTAATTTCTTATGATTTTACTGTATGGTTTCATATTATTTTCTGCTAGGGGGAGTGGGAACTTTGGAAGGAATTTAAAAGGGCATATTATAAAGTTCTAACAGCCTATATTTCCACGCTTTGCTTTGCTGCATATTCAGTGATTTTAAATCTTGGCTGGGGTTCTCTCACCAAAGTACTTGCCCCAAACCTGGAACTTGGCATCCAGGGAATTCTGTTTTTATACCTAATTTTTCTTTCCCAATGAATATTCCCCCCAACTCATTAAATCTCCACAATGACCCTGTGATGGAGGCTAGGCTGAGAGGGGCAGTGACTGGCCCCCAATATCACCCTAGGGAGTTTTGTGGCTGAGTGGGGATTTGAACCATGATCACACCCAGGTCTTAGTTCTGTAGGATAATCAGCCTCATATAACCAACATGCTTATGGCTAATTAATGCATGAAGGGGTTAATGTCATACAATAAGCTGTCCTGTCAGGTTAACTAGATCACTCCCCATCACATTGGGAGGAAGGTAATCGAGCCTATTGTTGTACTCCAGTCAACCAGAGAAGCTCAGCACGTGAAGCGGTTTTGATCTGGTTGCTCCTGCTAAACACACGGCTCTAACAAGCCTTTCTTGTGTTCGTACACCAATAATTTAGGAACTTTCACCACTGTGTAACTAAGCCAAGTTTTATTGCCTCTGTTTTTTGACTGCTGTGTGAAAAAGCACATGAATCCGACATCTGGAATTTGTAAGTAAATAATTTTTAACCAACTGAATGTGTGGTCTTTTACTATGCTGGGGGAAGAGAGGACTATTTTGGAACTCAGAAGGCCATATTTTAAAGGTATAACAGCTTGTATCTCCATGTTTTAGCTTGCAGCGTGCTTTGTGATTTTAAATTTCTGCTGGGCTTCTCTCACCAAAGAGTACTCACCCCAAACTTGGATCTTAGCACCCAGGAATTCTCCTTTTATATAGCTATATTTTGCTTGCCAGCCAACAAGTCCAGTAACCTAAGCCATCACACCACACTGGCTTTTGCCCAATGGGCACCAGGCGAGGCTTTGGGGGTACATCTGTACTCAGAGATGCTGTGCTGGCAACCCCTGAATCAATCAGTTCAAGAATATCCCAGTTATTTAAGCCCTTGTCCCTGCCACCCCGAAATAAAACCAAGTTCTCCCAATGTTTCAGCAAAAGACACTGAAAACCCCACAGTCCATACCCTGCACCCTCATCCACCTTGCGGAATGAGACCAGGAAGAGCCTCTCACCTGGCTCCAATTCAAGAATCTCCTTCTGTAGGTCTCTCTCGCTAACAGCACCTTCATGCTGCGAAGAAAAAGCAGTACAAAAGGCAGGCATTTTAACAGACTCATTTGGGTTGGAACTAGGCTGCAACAGGCCGAAATGGGAACACAGAAAGAGCCATGCTGGATGAGTCTCAAGAACCCTCCAGCCCAGCACATTTTTTCCCTGGGAGGGGCCCTGCTGAATGGCCTGATGGAACAATTCCTGCATTGCATGCAAAAGGGGACCAGTACAACCCCCAATAGCATCCAGGTAGCACTGGGAAGGAGAGCATATTTTCCCCACTATTTATTTAGCAAGATTTATACACCACATATTAATATATATAAGCAGTTTGTAGTTCCCCAGAGACTGGTAATTCGAATTTATTCTGGAGGCAGAACAAAACCTCCATGTCATTATTTTGTCCAATCCTCTTTCATAAGCCCTCCAAACTAGTGACCATCACTGCATGCACTGTAAATGTTTGTTGACTGTTTCCAACATATAGGGCCCTCATACAGCCAGGCCAGCTGCCCTCTTCCTGGGTCGGCGGCCTTCAGAGCACAACTCGGCCGCTGGATTCTGACCCCAGGTCAACTCACCTCCAGGGATGCGGCAGACTTGCTTGCGGCTTCCTCTGCATTGGGCAGGGCTAAGAGGCTTGTCATGGACTGCTTAGTCCCATTCTTCCCTTTGGCAGTGGACAATTGGCTCCCCAGCCTGGTCGCACTGCTGCTTCCTCCCGGAACTGGGATAGGTCAGAGAAGGAGAAGAGGCGGGAGTGAACGGCTTTGCAAGATGGGCAGCGGGCAGGGGGCTTTGGACAAGGTTGAAGCACACCCTTGACTCCGCTCCCAGTTTCTTTTCCCGCACCCCCCAAAAAAGCAGAATGTACCTTTTCGAAGCTCTGGTCCTTTCTTCTCCAGGAGGCTGGTGGACTTCCTCTCAATTGTTGAGGTCTTACTGGTCTCCTCAGTGCTTGTCTTGGGCAAGGAGGAGTCTTTAATCATAACCATAATCATAATCATAGTCAGCCTCTAAAATAGCTGAGATGTCTACGGCGGAGCAGAAAAGCCCCTGCATTTAGCCTCTGCATTTGACATGCAGGAAATGTATTTAATTTTAGTCATGGACAGTGCTTTTTTTCTTTAAAAATGTTTAGGTGTACTCTCATTTTCCTACTCATATTGAAATACTGCCCCTCAATGAGGACAAACAGATTCACAAAATGTTTAGGGGTATGCGTACCCCTGCATCGTCCCCCCCCCAAAAAAAGCACTGGGTTTCATATTTCAATGGAACTCTCTCAGCAGTTTATCAATCCAAACAAAGGCACACAGTTTAAATTCTACATGTTGTTAATTTCTCTTGTTGAAAATCTCACAGTTTCACCTTTTTTGCAAACTGCTTTGAGGGAGTTGTTGCTGTTTTTTTACAATCAAGTGGTGTATAAATTTTATGAAATAAATAATAAGACAAGGAAAGAAAAACAAAAAGGATACTTATATGATGTATCATCTAAAACAGGCTGAAACCAGCAAGAGGGAACAGTTGCAAAAGTTCTTAAAAGCAGCGCAACAAATCTACTTAAAGACAACAGTGGTGGATTCTTTGCAGCTAGGAAAGGGAGGAAGGAAACAAACCGGAACGGATAAAGAGAGGACATAGCTTAACCTACGCATAAGCCTTGAGTGAGAAAATCAGGATCGGGGCTCAAAAAATGGTTTGTCCAGGGGAGCCTTAGGGAGACTTGAAAGCATTCCAGGAGAAAGAGGAAGTAGGAGAGAGAGAGAGAGAGAGAGAGAGAGAGAGAGAGAGAGAGAGAGCAGCAAGAGGTCATTCCATGAAAGCCGTTCCTGGCCATGTACCTTGTTTTTTAGCTGGGGGTCCCCGATCTCCGACGTCCATCGTGTGGACCATCTTGTCAGGAGGGAGCAAGAAGCCTTCTCTCTGGAAGCGTTCCTGCAGCTTCCTCAAGTGGTGAGCCATCTTCTTCTCAAGCATGTTCTGTTTCTGCAGGGTGCAAAAAGAGCAGAGCCTCGCCACTGTTTCGGGATTCATTCCAGGGTCCTTTGCAACCTCTCATCATGCTGGATCCAAGGGGAGACACTGGGGCCTCCCCCCCCCTCAAGCTGGCAAAGGCACTGCCCCTTTCATTTTGCACCACAGACACTCAGAAGCAGCATGAGAGAATTCTTAGTTTGCATGCCTCACCTCTTTTCAGGTTGGGGGTGGGGGCCCCACTAAGCATGCCTAGCTGGAACACACCCCAACAGCGAGTACAGGGTGCAATTCATAGACCAAGTTATTTGGCAACTGCCCAATGATGATCAGCTGGATAGCTCAGTTGGTTAGAGTATGGTGCCAATAACTCCAAGGTTGCAGGTTCAATCCCCTGCTGCATATTCCTGCATTGCAGGGGTTTGGACTAGAGACGATCCAACAATTCTATGATTTGCCAGATTTTCCCCCTATGAACTGGGCACTGGCACCTTCTGTCTGTTTTCTGTGATGAATTGCTAATTTCTCCACTCTAAACAGAGCAATTTTGCTATACCAAAGGGGAGCAAGTGAAAGGAAGCCAGTAATTAAATCATTCCCTACATAATGAACAGGAACTGACTGATTGAAGGACGCTTAAGGGACAACTCTGTACTCCATGCTTGGTAGGAAGTACAAGAATAAACTTTTTTTTCCGACGAAAGAAGAATGGATACCAAAACTTATGGACTATGCAGAAATGGCAAAACTTACTGGAAGAATAATAAATCAGGATAACAAACTTTTCATGAAGGAATGGAAATTGAATATTTACAAATTGCAAACAGATAAAACATTGGCAGGACTATTGTAATAACCTGCAGTTTTTAAGATATAAATATATGAAACTAGATGAATAAAATAATGATTTAATATAACTTACAATATGCAGGGAATGATGATATAAAATTTAACGAATCGCAGAAAAAGGAGGAAGGAAGTTGATATTTGAAATGTCTGAATTATTATTAAATTGCTACTGAAATGTATATAAATGAAAATCATATTGGTTTTGGAAAAAAGGAATAAACTTTTAACTAACATTGCAGGGGGGCCTTTGCTAAATAAAGGTTGCTGTTGAGTAAACATTAGGGAAGGGTCTTGACTAGGAGGATGGGAACTTCTGGATAATATAGAACTACGTAGATGGAATGCTGGGCAGAACCTCCTTCCAGCTGATTGTGGCACCCTACCATGACCACTCAGATGCTAGCCAAGACCCACACAGCTTCCAGCCGCCTTCCCTTCTCTTCCACTTACCCTTTTCAGCTTGTCTTCCTTGCTCTTCCTCCTCTGCTCTTCGATCCTTGCTTCCCGTTTAACGTCATCACCGATTTTCATCAGGAGCAGCATTTCCTTCTTCCTCCATTCCTGGGAAACAAAGACTCATCAGCCATTGGTCACCTGTTTCTGTGCTGTGGCTGTTTTCAGCTGGGTCTAAAACAGCAAAGGGGACCCAACTCCAAGCAGCCCCAGTGGCCAGGGCGAATGAGGATGGGCGCCACCTCCTTTTCCAGCTTCCCTTTGTGGTTACCTCTTCCATTTTCTTCCGTAGGAGGAGCTGCTTGCGTTTTTCCAAGCCTTGCTTCTTTTTGTCGTCCTGAGCCAAAGCGAGTTGTCGGTTCTCTTCTGCCAGCTGCTCCAGTTTTTCCAGCTCCTGGTTAATCAACTCTAAATATCTTTTTGAAGAAAAAAGGCAAAGGATCGATTAGAATGGCTTGGCTGGACCTCACCCCATTTCCTCTTCTTTGCTCAAGTTTCTCGGCTAACCTGGGGACTTCAGGTGAGCCCTGGAGGTCTGGCAACTTGATGTAAAGCTGAAAGCTCATTCCCCCCTCCCCGCATGCCCTCTGGTGGCCCCAAACCAATTTGTGGAAGGGTAAGAGATTGATTGGTTGTAGGCTTGAGCCCCACTTTGAGCTAAAGATTCCTGAATCACAGGAGGTTGGTCTAGATCAGTGTTTCCCAACCTTGGGCCTCCAGCTGTTTTTGAACTACAATTCCCATCATCCCTGACCACTGGTCTTGCTAGCTAGGGATGATGGGAGTTGTAGTCCAAAAACAGCTGGAGGCCCAAGGTTGGGAAACACTGGTCTAGATGACCAACCCTTCCAACTCTTACGACCTGCAGTTCATTGTTTCGGCCCGTTTCTCCTGCTTTTAATTCCTGTTTTTTCTTGCTGTTTATGCAGAAGAGGATCGCAAGAGAGGCTTCAAAGGAGCACCAGACCCAAGCGGGGCAGGCTGGCTTTGCGGTGCCACTCTGCAAACCGCACAAAGGTCCGCTTTGGACCTCATGTGCAAAAATGCCCTCTAGACTCCTCCCCCTACCCATCTCCTTCGGGCACCTGTTCCTCATCACGGTCTCCTGCTCCTGTATTGTGGGCCTCTCCTCTTTCAGCATCCAGTCCCGATATTTCGACGTGTCAGCGGCCTCTGGAAGATGCTGAGTGTCTTGGAGCTTGGTGATCTGCTTCTCAAGCATTTTCTGGAATTCAGAGGATTAGAGGGATGTGGGCATCAGGGCTTTTGCTTGGGACATTGCTGCCAGCAAGTTGTCACTTGGGGTCGGGTGAGCAGAGGAACGCGTCAGACCAATTTAGTGGGGTAGGAGAACTTAAAAGAATGCCAATATTTTTCACATCTGGCAACCAATAGGCCCCTTGGGTTTCCGATAGTAGTACATGGGGTAAGGTAAAGGTAAAGGGACCCCTGACCATTAGGTCCAGTCGTGGCCGACTCTGGGGTTGCGGCGCTCATCTCACATTATTGGCCAAGAGAGCCGGCGTACGGCTTCCGGGTCATGTGGCCAGCATGACTAAGCCGTTTCTGGCGAACCAGAGCAGCACACGGAAACGCCGTTTACCTTCCCGCCAGAGCGGTACCTATTTATCTACTTGCACTCTGACATGCTTTCAAACTGCTAGGCTGGCAGGAGCAGGGACCGAACAATGGGAGCTCACCCCGTCACAGGGATTCGAACCACTGAACTTGTGATTGGAAAGCCCTAGGCTCTGTGATTTAACCCACAGCGCCACCCGCATCCCTTTAGTACATGGGGTAGATGGATCTGGGACACAAATTTTCACGGCCATCCAGCAGCTACGGTGGCTCATTTACCAAAGGTAATGTATTTGGTGTTAACTATGGAAGCGTATACTCAATTCTGACCAAACAAAGCACAATATACATCAGGAGCCCAAGATGGTGCACGTGGTTCTCCCATCCACATTTTATCCTCACAACAACCCTGTGAGGTAGGTTAGGCAGGAAGTCATGCCTCTTATCAAGTTTGCAATATGCTCTTTGTTTGTAGCAGCTGAGCAGAGGCCAAAGGAGATCTCAAAAAATGGTCCCAAGACTTGCCTGTTCTCTGATGTAGTGTTTCTCAAACTCCAGCTTGAGGGAGGTCAGGTACTGCCTGTATTCGTTGAATTCCTTCAGGGTGCACACCACCTAGGGGGCAAAAAGGAGGCAGGCATCCATGGGAAAAGGTTCTTTTTAATAATAAATATTTATTTGGTTTTTCAGATTAAAGTTTTACAATCACATATCCAACATACAACATAAAAACAAGATTCCAAAGAATTTCCTGGACTTCCCTCCTTCCCTTTGTGGGTCCTTTTGTTAATCATTTCCTCCTGCATCTTTTATGATAATCCAAATCTTTTACATCTCCATTATGTCCAAAATTCACCATTAAACTATGTTATTCCAATCCTACTAAGTTAGCTGTTTAAGATGGTTTTTAAGATAAATTATAAATTTCCCCTATTCCTTATTAAAATTTTGGTCTTCCTGATTTCTGACTCTTCTGGTCATTTTTGCCGTTTCTGCATAATCCATCAACTTAATCTGCTATTCTTCTCTGGTGGGGACATTATCTTCTTTCCATCTCTCAGCCACCATGGGAAAAGGTTCAAGAGCCCTCTGTGCACTTCCATGCTCCCCGCCAACAGTGCTGACATCCTAAGTCCCTGTCTGAAATCTGTTTACTCAGAAGCTACAGTTCTTCCCCTAAGATTCTAGTCTTCATGGCTCTGGAGAGAAGACAGATATAAATATAAACACAGGAAGCTGCCTATCAATCCACCTAGCTCACAGTGGCTGGCAGCAGCTCTGTGGGGTTACAAGCAGAGAGTCTCTCACAGCCCTACCTGGATATGCTACAGCCCTGCTCCTTTAAGACGTTTATTTTTCCTACAGGATTTGAAGCTTTTTAATATGACTTCTAGGCTGTTTTGAGGTGACATCAATGGTGTTGTTTGCTGATAGCCTTCTAAAAAAATGTTTCTGGCATGGTGTTGTTTTTTTTATGGCTGTCATTTTGCAGTCCTGATTGTCTCGCTAGAAAAGCACAGGGATGTAGGGGCATCAATGCCTGAAGCAGCTCAACTTGCCTTGTTCTTGTCGGTGATGTGGCCTGCCTTTTTGAGCCTCCGCAGGTTGTCTTTCCGCTTGTAGTAGGCACGCAGGTGTGGGTCGTGGAGGCTCTTATAGCTGGGTGCCATGAGTTTGCAGTATGGGTCGTTCAGGTCAAAAGTGGCAGATGGCTGGTAAAGCTGGGGATTGTTTTTGTTTTTGTTATTATTATTATTATTATTATTATTATTATTATTAATCCTATACCACCCTTCATCCGAAGATCTCAGGTTCACGGCATAAAAACACAAGATAAAAACACACAAAATGCACAATAAAAACAAGAACAAAGCAAAACAATAGCCCCTCCTGTGCAGAGACACAGCAATACATCAAAAAGGGTCAGGGAATGAGGCAGGACATTCCATTCAAGTATCAGGAAGAACTTTCTGACAGCAAGGTCTGCTCGACAGTGGAATGGACTCCCTTGGGAGGTTGTGGACTCTCCTCCCTTGGAAGCTTTTAAGCAGAGTTGGGATGGCCATCTGTCAGGGATGCTTTAGTGGAGATTCCTGCAT